CTGGAGCCCCCTGCAGAGCAGACCTTATGGCCAAAAAGTTCCAACTTTTTTGCATCGTTCAATTTTGGAGTGGGGCCCTGCTGCCACACTGAAAGCCTTAGAGAGAGGCACAGGCAAACTACCATCACAGTTCTTTTTCCTCCACACCGACCTGAGACAGAATTTCATCAGTGTCTAAGCTGAGTTTACCTCAAGTTCTTCCTTTGCATAGCTTACTTAAGTTTTATTATAACAGTAGTTAGCAATTGTTAGTGTTAGTTAGATTCAAAATTAGTTTGTAAGAGCCATTGTTTTTTCAGTTGTTCCCTTCCTGCAACTGCCCTTGGCTGTAGATGATGAACTGGAGCCAATGGGAGCTGTGAGGATCTGTGGCTATGGATCCTTTAGGTAAACAAAGCAATGCAGGCTCACTAGCAGTTTTCCCAAAGAGAGCCCATGGCCCACTTTGAGAAACACTGATTTAGAAGCACATTTCTACTTTAGTAATTGCTATTTAAAATAGCTCAAACCAAAAGGATACAATAATAATTTCTAGAAAAGTAGTAGAAGTCTCCTTTTTTTCCCCCAAGAAAATCTATCAAGGATATTAAGTCTTAAAATTGCATTAGGGTTTTCCATATTGGAAGCCTTACCTTAGAGAGCAGTTTTACTTTGGAAAAGGAGACTATAAAATAGCATTACAAGGTTCTATGATTGCTATCAGAAGTAATGGTATGCACACTGATGATTTAGAAGCGAGTAGGAGAATGAAAACCATGAAGAGTGATGTTGAAGAGAAGAAAATGGAATTTAATGAATGTGTAGGAAGATGCAGAGAAAGGTTAGATTCAGCAAAGAACCTCTATTGTTAAGAGGCAAAATTGGTTTTGAAGAGGCAAAATTGGTTTTGAAGAAAGTGACAACATTCTGTGCAGAAGAGTCCACTGGATTTGGATGCATAAGAATCATATTAATGCAAAGCAGAACCAAGACAATACATAAGAAGGAGGAAAACAGTGTGTTCATGCTTTTGCCAAATAATGCTGCCAAACAAACAAACAGCAACAACATAACAGAATGGGGCAGGAATGTGGTAGGGGAAATTAGGGAAAGCAAATATTAAAAAATTAGAAAAAGTGGTTTGAGAAGCAAATGTAAGAGAGACAGAGATCTGAGATGGAGCTGAAAGGCCATGGTATTATAGGGGAGCATGTTTAGAAATGAAGAGAGGGATCTCCAACCAACGCAAAAAAAGTCAGAAGCTGACAAGGTAATGAAATAAGTGACAATGAAGATAATGTGTGATGTTTAAAACAGCCGAACAGATATAAGTGTGTTAATTTTGAGATAGAATACAATGAAAACAGTTTGGAAAATACTAGTCTACTTAACTCTTCCTTTCACCATTTTAGTTATTTCCAAGTTGGACTACATATTAACAACATTCTTCAGCGAGAGGTTGTGGCATGTAGAATTTATGAATTATTTTCCACATCCATCACTTCTTTATGGCAAGATGGTTTATTAGGTGATGAGCTTTTGTGGGCCAGACCCACTTCCTCAGATCAAAAAAAGTGAACACATATAAGAAGGACAAATCAAATTTCAGAACAGAGGAGGGATGGGGGGGGGGACTTTCCCATTACAAAGATAGCTTCCCCAATTATCACCTCTAATATCATTAACTCACAGACATTAACCTCTCCCCATCCCCCCGTTCTGAAATTTGATTTGTCCTTTTTATATGTGTTCACTTTTTTTGATTGTATCCCTTTGGTATATATGGTCATGCCAATTTTCTTCCACAATTTGATCTGAGGAAGTGGGTCTGGCCCATGAAAGCTCATCACCTAATAAAACAGGTTTGCTTAAGTGATACATATTGGGATGGCACCAAACTGATGTGACCATACTGAATGAACGATGTGACCATAACTTAAAAAATGGCCAAATACCAAAGTATTCTGGGAGCAGGTCCTCTCTAAGCAGAAGTGAGCTGAAATAAACGTAATAAGTCAACCCGGCAAGGATTGCAGCATGGACTGCATGGACAATCAATACTGGATCTATTTGTCAGTAAATATGGGACAATGCAAAAGTTAATATGCGAGGAAAAATCCAGTGTGGAACACAGGCTGAATTGATCATCATAACAGCAAAATGTCATGCATAAGCCAGGATAAATGACTGAGTGAGTGAAAGTGGGATGATTTTGGGTATTCCCACAGCCCCTTCTAAAATACTAATTAGGTAAAAATTAGTAAATACATGCCAACTGGACAGGCTTCTAAGATATGAAACTCCTTTGGAGAACGAGAGAATAAAGAAGAACTGGAAGTGCTAATAAATAAGTACAATTATGACATTGTTGGCATCACAGAAGCTTGGTGGGATAATACACATGATTGAAAAGTTTGTATAGAAGGGTACAGCTTGCTCAGGAAGGATAGACAGGGAAAAAAGGGAGGAGGTGTTAAAGGGATTAAAAACAAGGGTGATGTCATGCTAGGAGTCTACTACAGGACTCCTCTCCAGGTGGAAGAAGTGGATGAGGCTTTTTTTAAACAACTAACAATATCATCCAAAGCCCAAGATTTGGTGGTGCTGGGGGACTTCAACTATCCAGATATATGCTGGGACAGCGGGGCACAGACTTTTTATTTCAGAAGGTTGAAAAAGCTACTGAGGGTATGCTGTTCTAGATTTGATCCTAACAAACAGGGAGGAACTGGTTGAGAATTTGAAAGTGGCAGCTTGGGTGAAAGTGATCGTGAAATCATAGAGTTTATGATTCTAAGGAAGGGTAGAAGGGAGAACAGCAAAATAGAGACAATGATAGGCAAGATGATAGGGAACAGCCAGGATGGATTTGTAAAGAACAAATCATGTCAAACCAATCCAATAGCTTTATTTGATAGGCTAATGAGTCTTATGGATAAGGAAGAAACGGTGGATGTGGTATACCTAGACTTTAGTAAGGCGTTTGATATGGTCTTGCATGATATTCTTATCAATAAACTAGGCAAATACAACTTAGATGGGGCTACTATAAGGTGGGTGCATAACTGGCTGGATAACCGTACTCAGAGAGTAGTTATAAATGGTTCACAATCCTGCTGGAAAGGTATAACAAGTGGGGTTCGGTAGGGGTCTGCTTTGGGACAGGCTCTGTTCAATATCTTCATCAACGATTTAGATATGGGCATAGAAAGTACGCTTATTAAGTTTGCAGATGATACCACGCTGGGAGGGGTTGCAACTAATCTGGAGGATAGGGTCATAATTCAAAATGATCTGGACAAACTAGAGAAATGGTTTGAGGTAAACAGGATGAAGTTTAATAAAGACAAATGAAAAGTGCTCAATTAGGAAGGAACAATCCTAATATTGGGAAGCGACTGTCTAGAAAGGAGTATGGCAGAAAGGGATCTAGGGGTTATAGTGGACCACAAGCTGAATTTGAGTCAGGAGTGTGATGCTGTTGCAAAAAAAGCAAACATGATTCTGGGATGCATTAATAGGTGTATTGTGAGCAAGACATGAGAAGTCATTCTTCCGCTCTACTCTGCGCTAGTTAGGCCTCAGCTGGAGTATTGTGTCCAGTTACGAGCACTGCATTTCAAAAAAGATATGGAGAAATTGGAGAGGGTCCAGAGAAGAACAACAAGAACGATTAAAGGTCTAGAGAACATAACCTATGAAGGAAAGCTGAAAGAATTGGGTTTGTTTAGTTTAGAAAAGAGACAACTGAGGGGGGACATGATAGCAGTTTTCAGGTATCTAAAAGGGTGTCATAAGGAGGAGGGAGAAAACTTGTTCATCTTGGCTTCTGAGGATAGAATGAGATGCAATGGGCTTAAAGTGAAGCAAGGGAGGTTTAGTTTGGACATTAGGAAAAAGTTCCTAACTGTCAGGGTAGTCAAACACAGGAATAAATTGCTCAGGGAGGTTGTGGACTCTCCATCTCTGAAGATATTTAAAAGTTGGTTAGATAAATGTCTATCAGGGATGGTCTAGACAGTATTTGGTCCTGCCATGAGGGCAGAGGTCTGGACTCGATGACTTCTCAAGGTCCCTTCCAGTCCTAGTGTTCTGTGATATAAGAATCAAACACATTAGTTTATTTGGTGGTGGTGAGTTCTTAATTTGAGCAATTGAAGAAGCCAATGATGCTCTGTTTTGAGGATTATGGGACTGTGAACCAGAGGGCTTTCAAGGCGATCAAGACCTTGCTTTGGGAGATCAGACCAGAAAAGTGAAAATGGACAAGAAAAGGAGCTGTCTATAGACTGGTAACCACCTTTTCTGTTTGGCAGGGAGGCACTGTGTGGGATCAGCACAGGAACTATCTGTATGTTTGTGAAAGTGAGACTTATTTAAGGGCATGTATAGTTTCTAATGTATTGCTATGTCTAACATAGAAGCTATGTGCTTGATGTATCCCTTTCACTGCTGGTTTAATTTCATTTTTAATCTTGCCACACGTTTGGGTTAAATTCTCTGGTTTGACCTTTTTCACTGACAGCAAAGCATAACCAGCTCTTCTGGGAGCCGTTGAAGATCCAGGAGGCACACATGGGGGAGACACAGAGAGGAGGGCAGGGAACCGTTCACTGTTCAACTATTAGTTAATGTTTCTTGTTAAATTTAAAAGGAAAGAATTGGCTAAAAGTCTGTGGAAAAAAGGGAAAGTGTCCATGAACATCTGAAGAAGAACAGAGTTTGCGTGGCACATACATTCAGGGAGAATATTAAAGGAGAGTGGCAGAAAGATCAATTATAATCCATCATGATCTATGGAAACTTCTGAAATCTTTTTGCATGGCCATGCATCACTATTACAGAATGTATTTCTATACAAAGGGCAGATCAACCCAGACAATCTGTTTTAGAGAGCTTTATCAACCAGTGATTTCAGTTACACTGAGTTAAAAATGCCCTAAAATGAGCCAGTTTGCTTAGATCTTGTGATAGCTACAAATTTGTAAATATGGAAAAAAAAGATACAAAAATTTTTGGAAATGTTTAATATGGTTAAAACATATGTATATTTTTTACAAAACATTTTTAGTCAATGACAAATTCCAACTGAAAGCTAATACCATAACAAAAATGCCATTTGATCTCCTTTTAATGTTCTAAACAATGTATGGTCAAATTATATGTCCAGATGTATACAATAAAACTTCTATTCATTGCCATAGGAGTTCTAGGTGCACATACAAATCCAAAACATCACCCTTACTTCAGTTTTATTTGAAAATTACTCCTTTGTCTGTCAAACTTTTTATAATGACCTCTTTTTAATAAACATTCCTAATGTATTATGAGAAGATGTGTTAAAAATGCCATTTATTTAAAAAACTTTCAGTAAATATGCAATTGTACTCACTTCCCATTACTGAAAAGTAATTTTTATATAAACATACATTTTCAAAATATTTGAATTCATGGTATTAGAATTTTCTCCCTTCTGACAAAAAGAGTGTCTGCAATCCTCTGCGAACATTCAACAGCTCCTCTTCATGCTGTGGTAGAATGGTATCACATTTACTATACAATTTAAAACATATTTTAAAAATATCACAGAATTCACACAGATCTTGCAACATTAGAACATTTCTTTTCTTCTTGTGCTAATATAAACTCTATTAAAATTCAAATAAGGGCTACATAACCATAAAACTAAAAGAGTGTGTATATATACACACATACATACATATATATATTTTAATGTAATAAAAATATGCCTTGTTTTAATTCTATTATACTTTGTCTTTGTTTCCCTTTTACTTCAAATGATGGTGCATTAGAAACTGCATATTAAAAGGAACTTTTAAAAAAGTGTACAGATAACTAAATTCTTTTAGGAAAGCATAAACAGGCAAATAGACAAAATAAATGTATATACCATTTCTTTAAGAAGTTTCTCTTGAAGTCCTTTCATGTCTTCTCTCATTAGATGCATCTATAAAAATTGATACCACATTCCATGTACACATTTTTTCACAACTGACAGTACATTGTTAAGTAGACAATTATTATTTCAAAGTAAATGTAAAATCAGATTGTATTAATGCAGTTCATTACCATTGGTCAAAATAAGGTGGTCCAAGGTTACTGGTAGGAAATATTAATCTTTTTAGTGCAGAAGCAAATAACTACTATGGCATCCATTCCAAATTCTGACACTAAAATCACTTGGTGCCATCAGTATGTAAACAACATGATATTTTACATTTTTTTTATTGTGCTCAAACAATCGTTCCCCCCTTATATTAGCTGAGACAGGGGTTTAGGGACTGATCTTGCAAGGAGCAGGCCTTTATGTAACACAACTACTTATTTTTAAACTATTACAGTAGTTCCATTTACTATAATGAGACTACATAAATGTGTAAAGCAAAGCGCATGCTTTCAAGATCAGGGACCTAGATATGCTACAAGTGTCTGAGACTCAGTCTACAAATAGAAGATGTATCAGATAAAGGTAAACATCTAGGCTGTGTCTAGACTGCATCTTTTTTCTGGAAAAAGGTACACAAATTGTGAACCGCAATTTGCGTACTTTTTTCTGCTTCTTTTGTCGGAAGAGGCTTTTCCGACATTTGGCCCGTCTACATGACCAACCCCCTTTTTTTTGGCACATCTCTTTTTCCTCACGAAACAAAGTTTACAGGGATTGATGCTGAAAAAGTCTGTCCACTCTTCCGAAAAATTTTTTGGAAGAGCAGATGCGTTCCTTGGATGCAGCAGAGTTTTTTCGGGATACCTCTGGTGTCCCGAAAAAACTCTGCAGTGTAGACATAGCTCTAGAGATCCCTCTCAATTGAGAAAGTATAGTTTCCCTTTTGTCAAAGGACTTAATAATTTAAACGAGTATCTGCAGCTTACAGATTTTTCAATATTTTTGAGACCTTGTGTGATCTTTGCAGTCATATTTTTTCTCATCTGTCTGTAAGTACTTCTTTCTCCCATGTATGGACATGGTCATTTATGATTTTCAGATTAGATTACTACAATGGTCTCTAAACAGACTTCAAGATTAGCCTGTTCCAGTCAGGAAACAGATATAGTGCACAATAAAGTGATCTGTTCACTAAGCAGTGTTAAAGGAACATATTACACCATTATTCCAAAGACTGCAATTACTTCATCATCACTCTCTTCTGTAATCAGGGATAATAATAATATTCTCCAAAGAACAACAAGTTGGATGTCTAAAAGAGGGTAATTATGACAGGAGTGTTTTCTTAATGATGCAGGAAAAAAATCTGGAGGAAGAGAAATCCTGAGAAGTTACTTGCCAAACTCTTTCTAACTGGTTCTTGACTGCATAACTGAAACACTGATAAACAAACTGCAAAATTGACTATATATTTGAGAGAGTTTGTGCATTTGCCTGTCTCTGTTCATTTGTCCAACTGTGAGTCCATTTGTTCAAGAACTCTTCTTAAATCAGGGGTGGCCAATAATTTTTGATGGGGGGAGAATCCAAGAATTTGGGAAGTGGTTGAGGGCCGCACTCTTCCATGATATTAATGGAGGAGATGTGGGGTCTGGGATGCAGGTTGGGTGTAGAAGGGAGCTTGGGTGAAGGAGGCAGTTGTGACCTGGGGCACTGGACTGTGGTACAGGGGATTGGATTGTTATCTAGGGAAAGGAACTGAGGTACAGGAGGGGGTGCAGAGATTTGGGTTATGAGCTAGGGCAGAAGGGGACTATGATCTGAGGCAGGAGTGCCAGATCTGGGAGGGGATATGGGTGCAGGAGGGGGACAAATTATTTGGATATGTGGAGTGGAGGGGGGGCAGAGGGTTGGGGAAGAGAGGGGTTGGAGTGCCAGGGACAACCTCTGGCCAGACTTACCAACCAGCAGCTGTTCCTGAATCAGCCTCCTTGCCTGCCAATGTTCCTGCTAAGCTGTGCAGCTTCACAGGTGATTAATCAGCCCTGCCTAGTCAGTCAGCTCCTTGTATGGAGCCCTGAGCCTCTGACAGGGCGGGGCTGATTAATCACCTGTGAAACTGCCCTGCTGTCCAATTTTGAGGGAACACTGCTACCTGTCCCACTCCCTCACAAGCTGCAGCCATGTACTCCGGAGCCCCTTGTGCTTCGTGGCTGACTGTTAGCCAGTTACTGTCCAGAAGTTGGCCAATGAAATTGTTCTGGAGCAACTCCTAAACCTCCCCCCATCCCTTCTGGACTCTCAGTTTTTAAAGAAAAAACACCCCGCAGCCGTGTTTCTGAGCTGTGTGCAGGTGAGGTGAGGTATGCGGGGAGCCTGCTTGGGCTCTCTGCAGCATCTGTGGAGATCTGGCTTGCGGGCAGTATTTTACACAGGCGTGCACTGCCTTGTCTCCTGCACCCCACACCCTGTTCTGAGTCCCCATCCCCCAAGCTCCCTAACACATCCAACCCCCTGCTCTAAGCCCCCCACCTCCTGCCCTGACTCCTGCACCCTCCACTCCCTGCTCTGAGCCACATTGGTCAAATCAAGCACATACATTGCCCTTTAATTAACAAGCCCTCTACCACAATTATCAAATTACGTGTTCATTTCTTCTAAAGGGTAAAGTTAAGCCCTTAATGTTGCACAGTTATTGTCAAATTAAGGAAAAAGTTTTTTAAAAGTATCAAGAGAACATTAGTGAAATGCTGAAGGTCAAGAGCTGAAGAAAAGCATTAGGTAACAATGTAGGAATTAAAAAGAAAACTAAGGACGACAAATGCCATACCTCAGAAGTAAAAATATTTTCCTCATAGTTAACACTGTGGGAGATGTGCTTTTCAAATGAAGTTTTAAGAATCTGAATCCTAACAACAAAAAAAGAGGTAAAAGGAAGTTACTCACCCTGTGAAGTAACGATTGCTCTTCGAGATGTGCCCCATGGGTGCTCCACTCTATGTGTCGGGTCCCATCCCGGTGCCGCGGCTCAGAGATTTCTCATAGTCGTGCTTCGCTGGCTCGCGCATGCATGCTTCCCCAGAGAGGCGTTTGCGCCTTTGATCAGCTGCGCGCGAGCTGGCAACCGTCAGTTCCTCTCACCCGCTCATCTAAAAGAAACAAATAAACAATTCTGGAGCGGGGAGGAAGGGCGGGTTGTGGAGCACCCACGGGGCACATTTTGAAGAACAATCGTTACTTCACAGGGTGAGTAACTTCCTTTTCTTCTTTGAGTGGCCCCGTGGGTGCTCCACGCTAGGTGACTCTGGAGCAGTACCTAGAACAGAGTTAGAGCGCTCTTGAATCAAGACTACCAGCACGATTAAGTCCTGCTGTAGCTACAGAAGAGTCTGCAGCAAACTGATTGATTATAGCATAATGCTTCATAAGTCACATTAGAAGACCATGTTGCTGCTCTGCAAATGTCATGAAGAGACACTCCTCTCAGAAAAGCTGTGGTCGTAGCAACTGCTCTAGTAGAATGAGCCCTCGGAAGAGAAGTAAGAGGCTTCCCTCGTAGCGAGTGACACATGGATATGCATGAAACTATCAGCCTGGAGATGCGCTGAGAAGTTAGAGGTTGTCCCTTTGAACGGTGTGCTAATGATACTATTAAGCAGACTGCCTTTCTAAAAACCCGCGTTCTATCACCGTAAAACGCTAAGATTCTCCTCACATCCAACGTGTGTAGCAGTGCTGTTTGCGTTGAGGTATGGGGTTTAGGCGAGAAACATGGTAAAACCACCGGTTCATTTATATGGAATTCAGAAGAAACCTTCGGAATAAACGCCCAAGGTCCTCCACATCACCAAATCCTTGGAAAAAATTGTATATGGAGGTGAGGCCATAAAAGCTGCTATCTCACTCACTCTGCGAGCAGATGTGAGGGCTAGGAGGAAGAGAAGCTTGACAGTAAGTAAATGCAACGGTGCTGTAGCCAAGGGCTCAAAGGGAGGTCGAGTCAAAGTTTGTAGGACTAGATCCATGTCCCATAGAGGTGAAGGAGGTCTCCGTGGAGGATGAAGGTTCGAGAGCCCCTTCAAAAATCTTTTTGTAATGGGGTGCGCAAACAAGGAGACATCCCCATCCCTACAATGGAATGCATTAATTGCTGCCAAATGTACTTGCAGAGATGCGACTGCCAGGCCGTTGTCATGCAGTTGCAAGAGGTATTGTAATATACAGTGTAGAATTGCGTAACGAGGATCTACAGCATTATCCATGCACCATGCCTGGAACCTGGACCACTTAGCTGTATAAGCTGATCGGATAGATTATTTCCTACTATGCATTAAGACTTCCCTGACTCGCTGAGAACAGGACTGCTCAGAGTCGGTAAACCAACAAGCATCCGCGCAGTGAGGTGCAGAACTTCGGGTCTTGGGTGATTGAGAGATCTGTTGTCTTGGGTCGACAGTCGGAAGAGAAGGCAGAGGATACGGTGCTCTCACTGACATACGGTGGAGCATTGAAAACCAGGGCTGACGAGCCCACGCCAGAGCTAGAAGGATTACCCGGGCTCTGTCCATGTTGATCTTCTTGAGAACCTTGGAAATCAAGACTACTGGGGGAAAGGCATAGAGTAATGACCTTCCCCAGTGGAGAAGGAAGGCGTCCCCCAGAGAGTGACGTCCTATTCCGGCTCTTGAGCAATAGGTGGGACATTTCGCATTGCGTTCCATCGTGAATAAATCTGTTGCCGGAAACCCCCATTGGGCAAAAATACGAGTCAGTACATCCGTGTGAATCTCCCACTCGAGGTCATGAGGGAAACACCTGCTGAGAGAGTCCGCTATTAAGTTGTCAACACCTGGAAGATACGAAGCTGTTAGAATGGTGTTGTTGCTGATACACCAATTCCACAATCGAATGCTCTCCACACAAAGAGAATGAGACTAGGCACCTCCTTGTCTGTTGATATAAAACATGGTTGCCATATTGTCCGTCAAAATCCTGGTAGTTGTATTCTGAATCTGCAACCGAAAATGCTTGCAAGCATGGCGTATTGCTCTCAACTCAAGGACATTGATATGCAATAGCATTTCCTGTGTCGACCATTGTCCCTGGACTGTGCAACTGTCCATGTGAGCTCCCCGACCCATTAGGGAAGCATCTGTTATCTGTTTTGTAGGTTCTGGGCGATGAAACGGGACGCCCACAAAAAGATTGGCCGGGTTGACCCACCACTGTAGGGACTCCCAGACATACTGTGGCACCACTATTGTCCTGTGAACGCTGTGCTTCACTGGAACGCAAATGGTGACCAGACAGTGCCGGAGGCAACGAAAACGTAACCTTGCGTTGTGTACTACGACGGTGGCAGCAGCCATATGCCCCATCAACTGTAGATAGACGTGCGTGGGAATTGTTGGAGCATGTACTACGGTGTGCACCAGATCTTTGATTGCCGTAAAACATTCCGTTGGTAAGTATGCTCGTGCCATGGTGGAATCGAGTCGTGCGCCTATAAAGATGAGGTTCTGGGATGGAACTTGGGATGATTTCTTCACGTTTATGAGAAGGCCCAGAGCAGCAACTGTGTTGGACACTGTTCGAACCATATGACATGTTTCCAAAAATGTTGTGCCTCTGATGAGGCAATCGTCCAAATAGGGGAAAATTGTTACTCCCAATCTTCGCAGATGGGCCGCACATGCCAGACCAAAGGGCAGAACTTTGTATTGATAGTGCTCGTTCCCCAATTGAAAATGGAGGAAACGTCTGTGAGCCACGTGGATAGCTACGTGGAAATAAGCGTCTTGTAAATTGAGGACTGCAAGCTAATCCCCTTTGTTCAATGAGGGAATGATAGTTATTAAGGTTACCATCTTGAAACGAAACTTCCGAAGGTGTCGATTTAGCTTCGAAGGTCTAGAATAGGTCTCCAGCCTACCGACTTTTTTGGTGTGAGAAAATATCAGGAATAAAAGCCTTTTCCCAGAACTGCTTGGGAACTCTCTCTATTGCCCCAATGTCAAGCAAACATTGAACTTCCTGTTGTAGCAGTTGCTCGTGAGAGGGGTCCCTAGAAAAGGGATGGGGTAGGGGTAGCGGTAGGGGGAATAGAGAGAAAGAGGATGGAAAGGCCGGATTGCACTATTTCTAGTACCCATCTGTCTGTGGTGATGTCAGACCAACAATGGTAAAATGACCGTAGGCAATGATGAAAAAGATGGATAGTCTCATCTTCCATTTTGATTGTGGGTAGCTGGCTTGCATCCTCGACAGACAAGTCAAATTTGCTACTTAGTTGATGATTGATTAGTCAAACATCCCTGTTGGGGTCCTTTGCACTGAGGACGCTGTCTAAGGTGTTGATTGTCGAAGGGACGTGATTGTTGTCTGGAGAAATTAAAATCATATCTTCGTTGATAAGGAAAATAACATCTACATTTGAAGGAGGAAGTGTACATCCCAAGTGTACGTAGAGTGGTGTGTGAATCTTTTCCCGAGTGGAGGACTTCATCGGTGTTCGCCGCAAAAAGCTTAAGCTTGTCAAACAGTAGGTCCTCAACTGTGCTTTGCATCTCCTTTGGGGCTCCTGCAGATGACAGCCATGATGATCTCCTCATGGCAATACCTGTGGCAGTAGCTCTAGCCGCTGTGTCTGCAGTGCTGTACTACATGATGCGTACCCTTTTTGGACTATTGCCTTCAAGAGTGGCTTCTTGTTGTCCGGGAGATCATGAAGTAACCCACTAATTTGGAATAATTATCAAAATTATGTTTGATAGATGGGCTGCATAATTTGCGATGTGCAGTAGAAGTGTGGCTGAGGAGTAGACCTTCCTACCAAAAATGTCCAATTTTTTATTGTCCTTGTCCGGAAGCGTATTTTTGTACTGTGGCGCTTTAGCCCTATGTTGTGCTGCGTCCACTACTAACGAGTTAGGCTGAGGATGATTGAACAAGAAGTCCAATCCTTTCGCCGGTACAAAATATTTTGTCGGCCTTTTCACTCATAGCTGTAACCGATGTTGGGGTCTGCCATATCGCATCTACCACTTCCATGATCACATCATCAATAGGTAAGGCAATCTTTGCACATTGTTGTGGATGGAGGTTTTTCAAGAGACGGTGCTTTTTAACCGGAATATCCGTTAGCTGTATTTCCTGTGTGCCCGCCACACGTTTAAAGGGGTCTTGGAATGGTCTCAGATCATCCGGTAGAGAGACGTCAGCTGGAAATATCGCCTCATCCGGAGATGACGAGGAGCAGTCTACTGGAGAAGTTTCCAGTTTGGGGTCTTCAACATTAGACAACTGCCCCTCTTCCGGCTTGGACTGGTCTAGTTGGATCATTAGACTCTTAGATGGAGAAGGTGAGTCTAGGTGCCGTGATTGATGAGGTAAGTATTTTTCACTCAATGGTTGACAAATGCAGGAGGATCCCCTATGGGAGGACGACATACGATCACACCAGGGACAATCATCATATGGTCTATGATAGCTGTCATAATAGCGCTCAGAATGCAACGGAGAGGAGTGGCGTGATAAGCGTGCACTACCATGCTGGATATAATAGATGTGGCATGGGGAGCGTCTACCAGGTTCGTATCTTGAGGATCGACCGGGTAAGCGGGACCGTGAACGGGACCGACATGTTTCTAGATACACTGCGTCCCTAAATTACGCTGTCCATATGTGACCTGTGTAGGAGAAACACTATAGTCACGATAGCGACCGTACCTTAGCGGTGAAAAACCTGGAGACAGGGATCCGTCTCTGTAATGAGTCTTTGATAATGCCTTCCTATGTAGGGAGGTGTCTTCCGCCCTAACAGCCACAGGACAGCCAGGCACCTAATAGCAGTGGAGCGGTGCCGGGGAAAGCAGCTGTTGATGTGTTGATGCCGGTGCCGGCAGAGTGCCTGGTTCTGGAGTCAGCAGCGGTGTTGGGGCTGATGCATCAAGACCTTCTGCCTTGGATCCCGGTGCCAGAGAAGATGGTGCTGTGGAGGACAGTGCCGCCGTAAGCGGGGCCAGTGAGGCAGGCGCTGTTATAGCTGGTGCCGCTGAAGCCGGTGCAGAGCAGCTCGTCAATTGCGGCACCAGCATCAATTTCACAGAGCACACAGCTGAGGCTGGTGCAGACTTGCTGGCTAGCTGCAGCACCGCTCCCGATGCCGTCGCCGCTCTCGCTTTCAGCGGTGAGGGCTCTCTGATCGCCGCCCCAGCAGTTTGTCCAGACCCCATTTTGGATGCCCCTGAAGCCGTTGCAGCCGCTGAAGGGAGGGATAGTGCTGGGGACGGCTTAGATCGCTTCGAGCCGACTGGTTCCGGGGAAGCCGTCCTGCGTTTTCGTTCGGGGGCTTTTGTGGCTGCGGGAGGGATCGGGTCAGGCTGCAACGCCTTCCCGAACATCAGCATTCTTATCTTCATCTCCCGCTCCCTTCAGGCTCTCAATGTTAATTTTCTACAGTGAGAGCACTTCTCGGGGACATGAGCTTCCCCCAGGCACCTAATGCAGGTGTCAGGGCTATCAGCCGTTGGCATGGGCTCATGGCATGCCAAACACTTTTAAAACCAGTTGATCCAGGCATTTTCAAAACTAGTACAGAATAAATACTTGTATAAGCCCCACGTGAAACCTTGCCAATTTCACTTTTAGCGCTTTGCGCAGCGCTTTAAGAGAAGCGGCTTGAGGAAAAAAACTTCTTTTTCTTTTTTAACTTTCTTATGAACAGAAGAACAAACTAGCAGGAACACAACTAATACTAACAAATTTAACTATTTACAGATGCAAAAACTGACTGAAAAACATTCTGAAGAGAAATATTCAGGGAGCTCAGACCGCGACCTGAGGTGGTTAAGAGGAACTGACAGTTGCCGAATCACGCATGGCAGATCAAAGGCACGAACGCCACGCTGAGGAAACACGCATGCGCAAGTCGGCGGAGCACGGCTATGAGAAATCTCCGAGCCGCGGCGCCAGGACGGGACCCGACACCTAGAGTGGAGCACCCACGGGGCCACTCGAAGAAGAAATTAAAGATCTTTATTATACATGAAAATCCCACAAAGATCTTGAAGAGGGCAATATACTATTGAAAAACATTGATGACTATTATTATTCCTATTAGTATAATAATCCACTAGCCTCTGATATGAATAAGTAATGTTATCCACATAATTTTCTGTTTGACACAGACAGCACTTTTCATCTATAGATTTCAATATGTTTTACATATGTGTGTATATTATTTTCCTCATTTTACATATTAAGTTACTTGGCTCAAAATCATATATTAAGTTAATTGCAGGGTTATGAATAGAATCAAGGCCTCATAACAACATTAACAAACCCTACTAACCTCTGCTGTTCATTTTTCTTGCATACACTAAATGTATGTGCATGTTTTTTCCAAAAGTTCTGAAAAGAAATATAATAATTAACTGAATGAGTAAGAAGTTAATCCACAAAATGTAGGACTTAAAAATAGGTTTCTCCTGTTCTCAAATAACCTGGAACGACAGACGTAAAACTGAATGATTAGGTATTCTACGACAGCCCATATTCTCACATGCAATAAAAAAATTAAAAGGCTCAATGAGAGAAGATGAAACTGTCAAACAAACACTCACCTTTAACTCAACCAACGATATTTCCCCAAATATTTTCCATATTTCCCCAAATCTGTTTTGAATGGCTATTTCTACTGCTGGCAAATAAAAGACCTGAGACACAATGATTAGACATTCCAAGTAGGATTCAATATGGCTAAAATAAGACTACATTTGTTCTAATGTGTGATTTGAGTTTGATTTTAAGCTCTTTGCAGAGTAAAAACCTATTGTACTAATCCACTTTGTGTCTTCACCTGAATGTGAATATCCTTAATGTTAACTATCCATTATAGCTAGCAGCAGACTCACCAAGTCCAAAAATGAATAAACCATTTTGACACTAAATAAAAAGTTTACAGCTGAGTTAGCTAAGGCTAGGTGACTTATTTAGAATATACAGTAAACCAAGTTCAAAGGCTGGTTTTGTTTACCCGAACCATTCTAACCTCTTTGTCTTATTGATCATTCTGGGAAAGGGCTAACCTTACATAATGAATAGGGTGGCTTTTTTGTGGCTGTGCGAGTGGTTTTCTCGAGTCTAAAGAGTTCATCTGGAATAGGGACTGAGCAATTAAGTGCATAACAGTAGCCAAGCATGAAAAGCATTGAACTAAATTATTTGTAATTTGACTGTTAATTTCTCTGAAAATAAAGTCAAATGTCAGGAAGATTGTAAATTTTTTACTTTACATAAAATGCATGGCTCTTTTTAATAGCAAGTTACAAACATATTTCCTCAGAGTCAGTAGTAATGGTCCACAGTTAAACATCCTATAAATAAAAGAGAAAAAGTCAGTGTTTTTAGAAAACAGATTCTTTCATTAAATTATTTAAATACAAACCAATAAGTCTTTCTCCATATTTTTCAAGGATTGGGAATCTTTCTCAAAACTCTCAAGCTCCTCTATGACGGTGAAATGAAATTTGTCCAACTGCTTCATCCTACCAAAAAAGAAATAAACTACAAATTAAAAAAAGCATTTATGTCATTCAAATAAACTTTTGAATAAGTATTCTGTTACAGACCTGCAATCATGCAACTGACAATTCACTGTTGTCAAATGCTGATGAGCTGTTTTTAAAGATTGTTTGGTAAAGTGGTCCATTCTTCTTGAGCGGCTCTAGAAAGGCATGTTTTAAAATTACTGTCAGTTTATTCGACTGAGAAGAAAATGATAAAATATTGTATTATAAAGCATATCCATAGTAGTTACAGTACTTATATAAGATCATAGGTTACAGTAGACAAACATGAAATTAATTCTCATTTTCGGGGCATACTTTTTGCTTTCCTTGTGAAAATCCATCCAAATGTAACGAAAGTATAAGTCTCAGAAAAACCACTGCTTGCATGTACTTAGTAGAGGTTTATTAGAGACTATTAGCAAAATTCTACAAATGTTCTGTCTTTACTGAACATATTCCATCTCCAGAGAGCTTACTGAACCTGCTGTAGCCTGGGACTGAGCAGGTATTTTCTTCTGTTTGTTCATGTCAGAGGCTTCTGTGTACCAGGCTTAAGAACAGGGAAACTGCCTTTCCTGCATTCTGAATCCTCTCCTGTCAGTGCCCAAGCAAATGAAGAAAGAGGAAGTAGCATGACTTCAATGCAGAGAAGGGGCCACAGAGCAGGAGGAAGTTGGAATTGGAGAAGGAGGACAGGCTGGAAGGGGACAAGAGCAGACAGAAGCACAGACACATGGGACACAAGCTGGAGGAAGACATACTAGGGACACAGATAAAAGAATCTGTAACCAATGGAATATGCCCTTCCCTCTACAACTTGAAATGGAAGCCAAGATTCAGTTTCAACATTCCTTTTCTGTCAGCAAATACTGTGAAACCAACTGGTAAAGTGTCTCTCATTACCCTCTAGTAACTACCAGGAACCATAACTCACAGAGGCCTCTGCTGCGGATTTAAAAGTTCCAACTCTGCCGATGGATTAATTTGTAAACACAGTACTCACATGATGTAATTTTTTTATACTGTGTTTTTTAAAAACTAGGAAATTGTTTTATAATAGGTTTTTAAATGTAATGTTCAAGTTACTAAGTCACATCATGCCAGAATTGAGAGTTCTTGACCAACCATAATTTTTCTTCCCTGTTCATATAGTTTTTAATTACATGATCACGTAATTTTTTCCCACAGGATTCAGGCTTCTTTCAATGCAGAGGCTGAACAGAACTCAGGCAGTGAAACAGGGTTATCGTAACATATGACGTTATTGTCTATATGGAAAAATGTCCATTAGTCTCCCATCAGAATACTGGGAGCAACAACTACCTCAACCAGGTGTGTTGTTAAGATAAATTAATTAATATTTCTAAACCACTCACATACAGCAGTGATGAGTGCCAAAAAAAACCTGGGGGAAATTAATTCTGTATGCTGGGCAGGGTTTGAATGGTATGCAGTAAATAAAACATGGGGCCTCCTTTGAAGGACAAAAACAAATGGTGAAGAGTTGCCTCAGTCCTGGAGCAGAGTAGAGTCCATACTATGCTCTGAATGAGGGCGGGGTCAGGAGGAATAATCATGTAATTAAAAGAATGCATCATAATACATATGTAAAAAGGAAGCTCTTAATCTGGAATTTACTAACTTCTCTAGCTACATCTACATTGGCATGATCTTACGCAAATACTCTTTAACGCAAGAGTCCTTGCGTTAAAGTATTTGCGCAAGAGAGCGTCTGCACTGGCAGGGGCTTTTGCGCCAGAGATGTGCTTTTGCGCCAGAGCATCCATGCCAGTGTAGACTCTCTCTTGCGCAAGAAAGCTCTGATGGCCATTTTAACCATAGGGCTTTCTTGAGCAAGAAATTCATGTTGCCTGTCTACAAGAACAGTTGCGCAAGACGGCTTCTTCCTGAGCGGAAGCATCATAGTACTTGAGCAAGAAGCACTGATTTCACACATCAGAATGTCAGTGTTCTTGCGCAAGAACTCGCGGCCAGTGTAGACAGGCAGCAAGTTTTTGCGCAAAAGCAGCTGCTTTTGCGCAAGATCGCACCAATGTAGACACAGCCTCTGTGTTTGACATAGCAGCCTCAATATTTTGTTCATATTTATTTTTGTATGCAATAATATATAATGTAGCTCTGTTAATGATGTCTCCAGCTGAACATGATTATATGAGGCAGAATTAATGAGAAAGAGAATATTTTTTCTATACACACATACATGGCTTACCTGAATTTTCCTAGTAAATTCCTTATGTAGCTTCTGACCTATCCCTACACTTGAATAACCAGCCTCCCAGACCTCTCCATCCAAAACAGACAGTTCATTTACAGACATAGTAGACACACTCTCGGACACTGAAAAATTGTAAAAATCACATGTAAAGTTAGAGAAGTAGGATCATATTAATGTATTGTATATATAGTAGAAGTTATTGCAATTCCGATGACTAAATTCATAAATCCTAAGACTAGAGCTCATGTCACCTTCTACTGCACCCAGTTTAAATTCAGGAATTAAATTATTCTCTATATTTTATTACCCCCTCTCTCACTTTAACTGTTTTAATTTGTATATGGTTGATCTGTTTCTTTCTAATGTTTTTAAACATGTTAAATGTTTTGCTTGAGCTATTATTTATAGAGATTTTAAATCTATAATTCTTAAATATACTATTTAGAAATGTGCTAAAAAGCCTATTATCTAGTCAATCACTGAAACATCTCCAGAGATTTATCAAGTACACATATATTATATACATACTCACTCTCTCTGCCTACCTCCTCAGTTTACTCTAAACACATAAATGAAATTATGTAAAAACCAAAGCCCATAGGTAAGTGAAAAATATGGAGACCTGGGAGACAGGTCAGAAATTGGGGGGTGGGGGAGCATGGGCTATAATATCAGGGATAAAGAGGAGATAAAGCAGAACGGGGTGAGGGAGCAAAATCAGATGAGTTTCTTAATTGTCTATGTACAACTACAAAAATTATGAGGAATGAACAGGAAGAACTTGAAATGCTAGTACATAAACACAACTATGAAATAGTTGGTATCACAGAGACTTAGTGGGATAATACACATGATTGGAATATTGGTATATAAGAGTACAGCTTGTTAAGGAAGGACAGGCAGGGAAAAAAGGAGGAGGTATTGCCTTATATATTATAAATGTATATACTTGGACTGAGGTTGAGATGGACATCGGAGATAGATTTGTTGAGTGTCTCTGGGTAAGGTTAAAAGGAGTAAAAAACAGGGATGATATCATGACAGGGGTCTACTGCAGACTACCTAACCAGGAAGAAGAGGCGGAAGAGGCTTTTTTAAACAACAAAATAACCCAAAACATGGGACTTGGTGGTGATGGGAGACTTCAACTATCCAAACTTTTGTTGGGAAAATAACATAGCAGGGCACAGATTATCCAACAAATTCTTGGAATGTATTTGAGACAAATTTTTATTTCAGAAGGTGGACAAAGCTACTGGGGGAGATTTTTAGAGATTCAGTTCATAGTCATGCTGGAAGAACATAGTGAATGGGGTTCTGCATGGGATCAGTTCTGTTAAATATTTTCATCAATGATTTAGATAACTGATGTGAAGTGCCGGCCCATTAATGAGGCATCCGTAGTAATCAGTTTGGACAGCTGCTCATGGTGGAAAGGCATCTTTTTGCATAGGTTCTACACCATCGGAGGTAAGGAACCATAGAGGAGGCAAGATGTGGCTGTGGATGTGGTGGCTGGCTGGAGTGTACACTGAAGAAATCCAGTGCTGGAAACATTGAAAGCGCAGCCTGGCATGTGGAACTACGTATGTGGTGGCCGCCATGTGTCCCATAAGCTTGAGACAAGTGAGGATGCATATGGTTGAGCTCGTGCTAAGGATAGGGATTGCATAGGGCATAGCATGGATTTCTGCTCATTAATAATGAAGTCTAGCGATTTAAGAAAGGCCTTTGTAAACCTGATCATGGCGTGTTGTGAGGGACCCTTGATTAGGCAGGAGGAGAGGGTTGAACTCCATCCGTACTGCAGGGCAGCAAAGGAGGAACTGAGGGAAAAGCAGGGGCTGCCAGTGCCA